GTAGGCTGTCTTTGTTTTTCACAGAACTACATAGTGAATGGTTTCCTTTGTTGTGCAGAAACGTTTTAGTTTGATGCAGTTTCATTTATTTTTCTTTTGTCTCCCTTGCCCAAGGAGTCATATCCAACATGTTATTACTAAGGCCGATGTCAAAGAGTTTATTGCCTATGTTTTCTTTTAGGAGTTTTATGGTTTCGGGTCATACATTTAAGTCTTTAACCCACTTTGGGTTGATTCTTGTATATGGTGTAAGAAAGTGGTCCAGTATCATTCTTTTGCATGTATCTGTCCAGTTTTCCCAGCACCATTTATTGAAGAAACTCTTTGTCCCATTTTATCTTCTTGCCTCCTTTGTCAGATTACTTGACTATATAGGTGTAGATTTATTTCCGGGCTTTCTATTCTGTTCCATTGATCTATGTGTCTGTTTTTATGCCAATACCGCGCTGTTTTGATCACTTTACTTATAGTATAGTTTGATATCAGGTAGCATGATACCTCCAACTTTGTTTTTCTTTCTCAAGATTGATTTGGCTCTTCGGGGTCTTTTGTGATTCCATATAAATCTTAGGATTGTTTTAGTTCTATGAAAAGTGCCATTGGTATTTTGATAGGGACTGCATTGCATTTATAGATTGCTTTGGGCAGTGTGAACATTTTAACAATGTTAATTCTTCCTATCCATGAGCATGGTATATGCTTCCATTTATTTGTATATTCTTCAGGTTCTTCAGTGTCTTATAGTTTTCCAAGTACAGGTCTTTCACCTACTTGGTTAAATTTATTCCTACATATTTTATTCTTTTTCATGCAATTGTAAATGAGACTGTTTTCTTAATTTCTCTTTCTGATAGTTCATTATTGATATATAAAAATGCAACTGATTTCTGAATATTAATTTTGTATCCTGCTACTTCGCTAAATTCATTTATTAGTTGTAAGTTTCTTGGTGAATTCTTTAGGGTTCTCTATATGTAGTATCCCAGCGGTCCCATTGCTGGGTCTATACTTATATCCAAAGGAATTGAACTCTAGCGTTCAGAGAGATTTGACATACATTTCCATGTTCACTGTAGCATTGTTCCCAATAACCAAGATATGGAGACAACCTAAATGTCAGTCAGTGTACAAATGGATAAAGAAAATGTGGTATATACATACAATGTAATATTATTCAGGCTTAAAAAGAAGAAGGAAATCTTGCCATTTGCAACAACATAGATGGAACTTGAGGGCATCATGCCCAGTGAAATAAACCAGACACAGAAGGGCAAATAATGCATGCATGGTCTCACTTATATGTGAAATACAAAATACTGTTATCTGCAGTTTTGCTTTCTGAGATTTCAGTTGCCTGTGGTCAACTCCGATTTGAAAATATTAAATAAGAATTTCTAGAAAGAAACAATTTATAAGTTTTATTTTTCAATTATAGTTGTTCATGTTATTATGCTGTACACCTAAGGTTTAAATTGCGTGCTGCTCTGAGTTGCGTGACGAAATCTCCTGCTGTCCCGCTCTGTCCTGTGGGGGATGTGCACCATCTTTGTCCATTGTCTCCACACTGTATATGCTCCCTGCCTGTTAGTTATCTCAGTTATCAGATCGAGGGTGTCGTGGTATGTTGAGGGTACGAGGGTAACAGTGCTTGTGTTCAAGTAACTTTGAACTTAATAATGGCCCCAAAGCCATTCATATAGCTTTTATTACAGTATGTTATAATTGTTCTATTTTATTATTAATCTCTTACTGTGACTAATTTATAAAGTAAACTTTATCAGAGGTATGTGTATATAGGAAAAAAAACAGCATATAGAGGGTTCGGCACTATCCGTGGTTTCAGGCATCCATTGGGGGTCCTGGAAGGCATCTCCCGTGGCGGATAAGTGGGGACTGCTGCAGTCACTCATAGAAGCAGAGAGCAGAATGGTGGTTGCCAAGGAATAGGGGGCGGGGGAATTGGGAAGGTGTTGGTTCAAGTTTACAAAGTTTTAGTGAGTTCTGGAGATCTGTTAAAAGCAATGGGGCCACAGAGCATCCCCATTGATCGAAGCTGTGTTCTGCAAGGGTGCAGGTTTGAGTATTGGTTTGGAACATCTGGGTGAGAACAGCTTTTATTTTCACTCAGTTTGAATGAGGCATGGGCTCTAGCAGGAGACAAAACTACATTTTCCTGTTCACGAACTGTTTACTGGCTGTGAGCAAGTTATTTAACCCTCTTAGCCTGTGTCTCTTTTTAGCATATGGTTATTGTGAAAATTGCATAAAGCAATATGGTAGAAAATGTTCTCAGCACAATGCCTGGCTCCTGTCATACAATCCATGTTAATTTAGACAATTTCGCTGTGAAACTAACATAAATTAGCTTAGATCTGAGTACTTTCAAGCCTACCGAAATCTGACTAGCAAATCCCAAACAGCGGCAACAGAGCTCGGCTTGGTAGCCTGCCACAGGGGAACGTGCCGAAACATACGGAACGTTATTAGATGTCAGGAAGGGACCTATAGATATAGAATAGATTTTCAGGATTGTTAGTAAAACCTGAGAAAAAGGTAGCCTCCTTAAAATGAGATTTTCGTTATCTAGTAGTACCCTCAAAACCGGCATCCCGTGGCCAGGAATTGTCTGTGCATTATTTCCCTTTGTGTGCTAAGGTGCTGTGGCTGAGTGTTGCCTGATGCGTGACCCATCATTCCATCCAAACCATGTAAATGAAGACTATTCTTGTTGCTGCAGCTGTGGAACGCGTGCACGTGGCTAGGGTGGTCAGACAGGCCCGTTTTGCTGCCCTGCTGACAGCTGTGTCAGCAGATGCCACAATGGCTGTGACCCGCATTTGACCCCAGGGGCAGGCAGCATTTCCTCAATGAATCCCTGTGATTCTGTGCTATGTCTTTACTTCGTTGATTTGGGTTTGCAGCGTCTTTAGTACTCATGAGGCTATTTGGGTATAATGACACTTAGGTTCTAACCGCCAGTAATCCTTTAGCGAGGATTTACTGAAACAAAGCTTCTCTCTCATTTGACTATAATGGTTTGACATTAGTAGTTCAGAATAAATACAGTGACTGTCTAGCATGTGTCAGGTGCTATTGAAGTAGCTGATACATTTTATTCTCCACCAGTAATTATATTTCATGAAGTAAAAGCCTTGAAGAAAAATGTCCTTCGCAATTTAAGGAAAGGACTTGGGTATAGGGCTTAAGTCACAGCAGTTCGGCCATGGGGACTGTAACCCTGTGCTGCTGGGACAATCGATATACTGTCCATAGCAATTGAGAGGACATCCTTCAGGGGAAAACCCCAAGAATAACAAATGAGGAGAAAGAATGGTCTCCACTGTTACATCTTTGGAGCCGTTGTGACATCTTGCTCTGACTTCTTTTGCTCCAAACGTAACTTTGAGGATCATCATTTTTCTTGGGTGTCCTGAGCTTCAGGACTTGGCCAGAGTTTCATGTCTCCAGTGTTGAAGGCTTCCATTTACAGTAATACCTTGGCTTGCGAGCATAATCCGTTCCGGAAACAAACTACTCGTATTACAAGACACTGCTCGTTTACCATGTTAAAATGTATTAGCAATGTTGGCTCATCTTGCAGAACACTCGCAAACCATGTTACTCGCAATCCAAGGTTTTACTGTCCTTCCACCTCTCTCCAGGAAGCCAGCCTCGATGGCATTCTATTTACAGGCTTTCAGGCTGTTTCTTTCTCTTTATGGTCTTGCAATCAATGGTCCTCAAACTTGAGCATGCCTCAGAATCATCATCTGGGGGGCTCGTTACAGCCAGGTTGCTGGGCCCACCACAAGTTAAGATTCAGTAGGCCCAGGCTGGGCATTTCTTTTTTCTTTTTAATTCTATTTTTCAGTTACAGTTGACATCCCTTATTATTTTATATTAGTTTCAGGCATACAGCATGGTGATTAGACACTTACGTGATTTGTGCAGCGATCCCCCCATTTGCCTAGTACCCATCGGGCTGGGCGTTTCTATCAAGTTCCCAGGTTACGGTGTGCTAGTCAAGGAGCACCTTTTGAGACTCACCAGTCTTGCAGACAAGAGGAAAATCTCGTAACATTCTGATATAGTGTGCTGTGTGAACGCCCGGATAGCTGATCATAGAATTTCACAGTAATTCACCTAGAGATCTTGCTTTCCTCTGGATGTGTGCCTTTCATCAACAGACAGGTCTGCTCTCCAACTATTATATAGCAGGGCTCTGTCCCCTTTGAAACATCTGTAGCCAGACTTCAATACTTTTATAAACCCTAATTCTTCAAATGATAATTTCATTGCTTGTAAGATTTTCTGCAGACACGCCCACCTACAGCCACACATGCTACCCCACATTTATACTTTGGTTGGCAATATGAATGTTCCAAAAGACAACTTTTGGTGTTTTTCAGCATCTGTACGTACCTTTTCTATCATTAATGGGCCATTTCAAAAGTAAACTATACAGTAGTCATAGGTGTTGAAAAGCTGACAATAGAATCAAACTAATTTTACAATCTTGTTGAGTTTTGAGGTGCAAAGTGATTTAATGTTAAATCGGAACATGTCTTGAAAAGTACACCCTAAAAAAGTGCTCATGGTCACGTGGGTTTGGGAACCAGTGATCCTCCAAGGAACCAGCAGCAACTCCAATGAGCACATGAAAGGACCACAGCTCCAAGTGCAGCCGTTTTCTTAAACACCTACTTAGCTCCTGATTGTCCAGGAAGTGCTGGCTACACCTCGCTCCTAGTAATGTGACTGCACATCTACAGCCAAACAGTTTGTAGCAGGAGACTGACACAGAAGGCACACCTCCCAATCGGTACTCGTTTATTTCAATTAAATTGTTTCTACATCTTGTTTTCTTTCCCGGAAGTGGGAAGCACGGAGAAAATTTAGATTAATGGAAAGTTTGAGTCAATCAAAGTACTGGTCCAGTTGTAGGGAGACTTGAAAAGGTGATAGTAACTGAGGGAGAAAAAAGCAGCTGACACATTAGCTGTAGCACAATTCAAGTTTATTCCATTTGTTCTTGCAACACAAAACTTAAACACAGTATTATTTAGCATTCTGATGTACATGAACTAGGATAATATGAGAAACCCAATTGTGTCAAAAGTATTACATTGTGGAAAAAATGAACTCAAATATATCAAAATGCACAAAGCACTAGTCTTCCTCCATTACTGCTTAGAAAGATATGATTGTTTCTCCATTTACAAAATAGAATCAGGACAATTTAAACCGTTTAAGTTTTGCATGCACAACACTGCAATTGCTTATGTAGGAGGGCACTCTCACCAGCTTCTTCTATACACAACCGAGCGTACAATGTTGCATGGAAGAAAACAGCAGCTCGGTTGAAGTTGTAGGGGAAAAAAATCAAATAGGTACATAGAGATTTAAAACCCATTATCTGGGAGAAAGAAATCAGTGAATAAAGGGTCCGCTGGCTTGCAGCTTCCACACACTGCACCTACCTACCTATCTCTCCTTCGTGCCCCGCTGGGTTTAGAAGGTGAGCTACTGCAGAACTACTTGGGTACACTCAGGTGCTGTACTTGAACTAGAAGCCTACAGATACCAGTCTGAAGCTGCAAGGGGGAACTGGTTAGTATATGAATGCAAACAGGCAAACCACCTGTGTTCACTTGCTATAGTGCATACGAAATGACTGAATACAAAACTACAGCACATGCAGGGGTTCTGCTGAGATGTGAAATATTACCTCAGTGGAAAACAATGCTTAACCTTTCACTAATGCATGTAGTACCAAAAAGCAGACATGGTTTTAGCTTCCTTTACTCAAAATATGAACATTTAAGTGTTGTGAATTTTTCTACCAAGTGGTTCAGAAATACATTATAAATAAACTAGTTTAAAAAAGAAGAAATTGTAAACCATCTTGGTCAGTCTATTCTAGGTTTATATGTTATTTTCTCAAGCAACCTCTTCATAATTATGGGGTTTACAAAATGGCGGAGAAAGAAGAAAGGCGAAGGAGCCTCTGCTGCGTGACAAGAAACATCAGGATAAACTACTGTACAAAACAGGCCCCCTGGCCGCTGTGCCAGGAGACTGGAGGAAGCAGAGCCGGTGTAGGAATGAAAGGGCAGACCGCTCTCTGCAGTAGCCAACTACAACAAAACACTTGGGATGGAAAGGTGCGTCCTGTAGAAGGTACAATCCAAGCCTTTCAGACGGCACTGTGCCAAGAGGTGGAAACAAAGATATCGAAACACCTGGTCACTATGCTGACAGTTAAAGACGGACAGAGTGCCCCCAGCTTCAGTGAGGACGGCTCCGAGGTTCAGATCAGTGATGTAATAAAGTACTGATTACTGACTTTTCATCCAACTCGACAGGCTGCACTAAGGCAGCAGAATTAGCCAAATATATCGAAGTATTTAAACCACCGTTTTAAATTGTTTTCTTGGATGCAGAAAAATTACAGGGTTAGTTGTAAGTGAAAAAGCCACAGGATAAAAAAAGGGTTCATGGGGAAAACACACACACACACACACACACACACACACACACACACACACACAACCAACCAACCAATCAGCAACTGATCAATAAGATTCGTTATTAGCCAGGCTGACTGTTCTTGGTACTAGTTTAACTCTGCTGTCGAATGCTACATTGCCTTAAAAAAATCATTCTTTTATCATCCATAATCTGAATACAAGTCCCTAAACCCACCCTCCCCCTTTTAAAAATTTGAGGTACATTCAATTATTGCATGGCATGGCTAAGGAAAAAAGCCTAATATTTTTAGTAAGGTTATATGGATGGTTAAGTCAAAAGAATCTTAATATTTCTAAATGCAAGATAGCAAAATTTAAGGGTATGTGTTTTAGTCATACTGCTCATGAAATACACATTTGAAAATGTGCCTAAATATTTTCTGCAGGTTATAAGAACACCATTTTAGGGCACTGTATTTTGAGGACACAGAATTCGTTTTGAAGGTGTCACTTTATGCAACACATGATTTAGAAAAGAAACAAAAATATACTATGCAGATGGGTTGGCATATGTTCAGCAGAAGTTTATCAACTCAGGGAAACCTGGTAACAAGCATATTTTTGAAGGGGTTAAATTTGTCCAAGTAGCAAATCTCACCCCAGTGATCACTTTGGTGCAGTAAGTAATCAGCATCCAAGATGGGTCTGAGAGCCATTCCAAACCGTGTTCCTTGATTCTCCAAAAATAACCGAGGCCAATCCATTCAAAGAGCAATGAAGAAAATCCAGAGGTACTAAGACAACTGCCCTTTCTTTATCTGACACTAACAGGCGTATGGCTATGGTTCTGTTTTTAAATCCCCTTTACTACCAGCAGGAGTTGGAAAGTGTTTTCAATGTTATATAAATGTGTGAATCTAGAGGAGAAAAAAAAATACGCATACTGGAATGATTTCTCCTTTAGACTTTCAAAATTGAAGCTTTTATAAATAAAACTAGTCAGTTTTACCTAAAGATGCATGAAATGCATGTGAAAGGGGAGAGGAAATCCAAAGTTCAGTCACCCAGCAATTTAGGAGCATGTCCCCCTCACCTTCACTGAGCTTTCGCATGAAGCCGAGTGGCCCAGGGAAGGTTCGGTCACCTGCCCCAGGCAGCGCTCTCACCTATACCAGGAGACCCCCACAGAGCGCATCTTAAGGCAGAAGGCTATATATAGCGAATTGCTTATCTCAGCACCCGAAGTTACATCCCAGCAGCCACTACTGCTCGCACAGCCAGGGCTACCAAGTTTGTAGAGTTGGCCTTTGTATCATCAGACCCTCGACACAATCTAATCAATCAATGAGCTGGGGAGCTGGAAAGGTCCAATGGGACCGCTGTGTTTTGTCTTTGCTCTCCCTCGGGTATAAACTGTATATTTTACTGGAAAAGGAAAAGAGACCGACTTGATCAGGAATGCGAGCAAAACCTGATCATGGCTCTTTCCCTCTCCTCCTAAACACTGTGTTTTTCGGGTAGTCTGATTTGTTAGGAATTTCTCCCTCCCCTCATCCCTCTTAAAGTATTTAGCTGAAGAAGCTGGCAGATAGAGTGACAGACAGACAGGCAGCAGTGTGAGGCCACAGGAGAGTCCTTCTTCCGGAGCTGACAGCCCATCCGTCCGTCACTGAAGAAGCGCTTTGATGGCCTGGTTGTCAGTGGCTTCAAAGGCAGTCAGTCCATCGGGACCCTTCACAGTCTTGTCAGCACCCTGGAAAAGAGCGGAAAGGCCTTTATCGTGAAACAAGCCCACAACCGAGAGGAGAGAATCAAAGACCAGATTACTCGGCATAGGCTAATGTTTACATTGAGAATGAAAAAGGCCTTAAACAGAGTCCATTCTATTGAAGAACAAAACCCCAAACAGTTGGCAAGGTTATGAGCTGAGTTATGAAAATGCCTGATTATTGCAGGCACTAGCAACTGTAAATTACAGACACAACTTGCCAATAACATAGGCAACAGCAGGCTTTTTTTATACTCGCCCTATCATAAATTTACCCAACTAAGCTTTTAAAAATATCCCTATATATAGTATAAAATAGGAAAATCGCTTTTGCTAAAGAACTAGTATGGTGACAAAATTATTTTTTCTTCTTTTCAACACTTTTAAGAGAGTGCCTCAGTTTTACACACACATTTCTAAAATCCAGAGCTTACAAAACTTGTAGGCAAGTTCCTAAAGAATATGCATAATACTGGTCATTACAAACACGCCGCAGCAAATGACTGGCATGTGGGTGACACCCTGGGGAAATCGCCTCCAGCCTCACCTGAAAAGCGTTGCTCTGGAACGTTTCACTTGCAACACGGTGTTTTAGGTTTGAGAACGTGGACATACACGTGTGTCCACCTACTGTTTTTATCTGTCGTCCCTTACGAGAATAAAAGCTCCACGGAAGTAGGAATCTTGTCTGTATCGTTGACCACTGTGTCCCCAGGACCTAGCAAAGTGCCTACTGCATGGAGGTGATGCTGCTCCCAAACCCGGTCTGAACTCCAGGACAGCAATATTCCCCCAGCTGAGGGCTCTCTTTGCTATCTCTAGCCCAACCAATATGGAGTCCCCAAACAGCCTCTAGGGGCCAGTCCACCTCCCCTTGCTCAACCGCAGTCATTCTTCTGTCCCTAAGGCCTATGGGATGGTCTCAACTTGGCACTGGTGGTCCTGCAGAGACCAACTCTAGTCCAGCCCGCCAGTCTGCCTTCCCATCCATCTTGGTATGCTCTAGCCCCATGGGATTTCTCATCGCTCCCGCACACACCATGTGCCATGCCTTTGCACACGCTGGGTTCCATACGGAAGGCCTTACCCCCTTTCTCTGGCTGATCCATCCAATCATTCAAGTATTTACTGAATGTCTGATGTGTAGACACTGTGTAAAGGCTGGGAAATCAAACAAAAACAAGCTAGTCTGCCAGTCTGGCTGGTGTGGGAGGCAGACAGATCAACCCATGTGAATCAGTGGATGGTAACAGTAGTGACGCACAGTGTACAGCAGGAGGGGGGGCGGGAGGAGGTGTCTGCGAGGTCTTTCTGGAGGAGGGAATGCTTGAGCTGAATCTTGATGAGTAGGCTAACCGGGAAGGAAAAGATGACCGATTCCAGGAAGGGTTAAATGATCACCAAGTCCTCTTAAAACTCTGTTTTCCTCATTTTCTAATTTAATTGCTTTATGGAATACATGGAACTAAGATAAATGGGAGAGAAATCGGCGAGAATGTCAATGTGGTAAATCCTCCAACACAGGTTAAGTGACAATAATGGGATCGATGTAGTCAAATAAATTATTTCTTATTTCGATAATAGCTTTTATGACTAGCATTGTAAACTATAATTCTGCATTAACACAAGTGAAATATTATAGTGAACATCTGTTGTCTTTTTTTTTTTTAGCTGCTAGAGTTCGTTCTCCTTCTTTTGACAACATCCTAATTTCATCTTGGGGGACTCATTTGTTCCCACTGTGTGGAGTCCTAGGATTATAACGCAAAGTGCTATGTACTTTCCTTGCCACGTGTCAAAGATTTGACTCATGCAGAACGTTCACTTCTGGATTTTGAATTTAATTGGAGAGATCAGAGAGAGAACAAGAAGTCAGAGCTTATTTTCTTATTTCTGTGGCATCCCCCTGAAGAGAGGGTTGTGAAGTTTCTAGAGTCCTGCGGCTGCCACACCTTTGGCCTCTTCTGAGCCTGGTCTTCCAGCTTTCCTCCTGGTTCTGTGACTGGTCCAGTATCTTCAAAATTCTTTCTACTTGTTAGAGTGAATTTCTGCTATCTGCAACCCCCAAAAATCTAGCTTATAAAATATTTTTAAAATTTATGTCATCTTTTTTCTAATTATAAATCAAACTCATCACAGAACTCAGAATACACAGAAAAAACATAAAACTCCTAATTCTATAAGCCAGATACAGCTATTAACACTTCAGTGTTTGTCTACTCTTTCGTTCTAAATATGTATATGTATGTATTTTAAAAAATGAGTAACAATAAGACAACTACAGTGACTATACATCACACAAAACAAACTTGAGGACAAAGAGCTATTACAAGAGACAAAGAGGGACGTTTCATAATAAGAGGCTTAATATTCAAATTTCAAAAACAAAACTAAGAAAACAATTCCATTTATAACAGCATCAAAAGAAGAAAATATTTAAAAATAAATTTAACAAAGTCAAACCAGTTCTAAAAAAAGATGAACCAGTTTTGTCAATGTGGATAAGAGTATTAAACGAAAATAATTTTTTGGCACTTGATGCAGTTATGGGAGAACTTAAGTATATCTGGCCTCATAGGGATAAGGAAACCATTTTTAATCATTTGTTATTGATTTTCATAGCTCTTGACCAATGTCAAAGAGCTTACTGGCTGTTTTCCTCTAGGATTTTTATTGTTTCAGGTCTTAGGTTCAAGTCTTTAGGCCATTTTAAGTTGATTTTTGTGTATAGTGTAAGATAGTGGTCCAGTTTTAGTCTTTTGCCATGTGACTGCCCAGTTTTCCCAACACTATTTATTGAAAAGACTGTCCTTTCTCCTTCGTATATTCTTGGCTGCTTTGTCCTAAATTAATTGACTATATATATGTGTGGGTTCATTTCTGGGCCCTCTATTCTGTTCCATTGCTCTGTGTCTGGTTTTATGTCAATACCATACTGTTTTGTTTCCTATAGCTTTGCAATATAGCTTGAAATCAAGAAGTGTGATGCCTCCAGCTTTGTTGTTGTTTCTCAAGATTGCTTTGGCTAATTGAGGTCTTTATGGTTTGATGCCAATTTTGGGACTGTTTCTGTGAAAAAAGCCAATGGAATTTTGATAGGGATTGCACTGAATCTGACTTTGGACAATACAAACATTTTAAACAATATTCTTCCAATCCACAAGCATGGACTATCTTTCCATTTACTTGTGTCTTCTTCAGTATCTTCCATCAATGGCTTAAGCTTCCAGAGGACAGGTCTCCTGTCCCTTGGTTAAGTTTATTCCTAGGTATTTTATTCTTTTTGATGAACTGTAAATGGGATTATTTTTAAAATTTCTCTTTCTGATAGTTTAATAGTGTAAAGAAACAACTGATTTCTGGATATTGACTTTGTATCCTGCAACTTTATAGAACTCGTTATTTCTCTCATAAAATGGTCTAGTGCTGTGTATTGGGGCCGGTAGGGCGGCTCTGTCCTGTAAGGTTCCTGCCCTCATCCATCTGGCTGAACCTAGCTCACCTCCACATCTGCTTCGTCTGCTGGATGTGGGGAAAAGTCCACAGCAAGTGGCCTCATATTTTAGGTGATGAGCTGGAAGTGGCACATATCATCTGTGCATATAGCATTAGCCCAAACTTAGACACACAGCCATACCCACCAAGGACTCGCTAGGCTGTCGTGTGCCGAGCTAAAACATGGGGTTCTCTTCCAATAAGGAAGAGGAAAAAATGGACATGGAAGACAATCTGCAGCCTACCTATATGGTCCTGAAAATACTTTGGAATAAGTCATTAATGTCGTCTTAATGCCAAGTTCAGTCAATACTTATGGTATCTGCACAGTGACGACTGCTTAGTCCTAACTCATTATAGCCCTGATCTAACGACATTCTTATCTCCAAGTCCTCCTGTCTGTGTAGCCTGCCTCCTTCCTCCTGCACAGCTCCCTGCATTGCCCCCGCTGCCTCCTCCCACCCTCTCTGGCTTCTTTACATGCCGGGAGTCGCCATGCTTCTGGTCTCTGGCGCTCCTGTTTGCTCTGTATGCTTTTGCCCGATCATTTCATCCATGTTATGGTTTAACTTCCAACCTTTATCCTCATCTTGAAGAGAGAGAGAGAGAGG